TATACAGCATAGCCAAAACATTGTGAAAAGAGCCCAGAACATCCTTCCTTGTCTCTGTGCCTCCCAGTTGAGGGCCAGTCTGAGGTCTCAGGTTGTCTCAGTGGAGAAGGGGCTTCTCAAATGCTGTGACCTCATCATCGGGGGTGTCAGCATCTAAACTCCTAGGAATCTGTGGTGCCAGTGCGGAATGGAGAGACTGGGCAGGGGGCCTCAGGACAACTCGCCTCCCACCTTCTAGAAGACCAAACCATGGTCATACACCTTGCAGAATAGTTCTCTGAAGCTGGTTGGGCTCAGCAGACATTATCCATAAACTCTGCGACACCGTGCCCTCTAAGTCACTAAAACCAGTCTCCCTCATGGTGAAAGAAAGAGGTTCCTCTGTCCATGTGAGAAATTGAGAAATGAGGGAAGCAAAGGACTGCGGAAAATGAACCAGATAGCAGCCATCCTGTTATCACACACAGACACAAACACACACACTCATGGACCAGCGCTGTCCCCTCACTGTTGAGCCATGATTCTGCACTTAGCTGTTGTTACTCTGTTCCTACTCGTGATGGTAGCACACAGTTCCCTCATCGTGTCAAGATTTCCTGAAAATCATCCTCTGGATCCAAGACCTATATGTTAGTGAGCAAACCAAAAGAAAAGGTCAGCTGTGGTGTTCTGATCAATCTATGCCAAAGGGGAAACTGATCCCTTTACCATTTACGAATTACATTATATTGTGTACATGTATGATTCTTGGGTACAGCAAAAGGCTTACCTGAACTTGGGATGCTCTGATTGAATTAAGAAAAGGGAACCTTTTTTAAAATGTTTGGGGGCTTGACAAGTTCATCTCCAGGAATTTGGAAATAGAGCTAAATTATAAAATCTGCACATTATGGATTGGGAATATAAAGTCTTCTGAAAGAAAGAGAGTAAGTGTTAGACCAGCACAGGACTTTGAAGTGTGAGAACCCAAAATGAGAAAGAATTGTTCCATGAAGAGGGGCCTGGTCGGCCATAGAAACCTGAAACATTTGGGGGAAGAGAGTCACTCATCGGCGGTGTCCATCCTAAGACCAGCCACAGGAAGGAGGATTTTTAGGCGTTGGGCCTCCATTCCTCCAGGAACCATGGACAGGCTCTCCGTATGTGGAGCAAGGGAGCAGAATATTTGAATTTAATTCCTTGATGGCAGGATATAGTGCACCAAAACCACAGATAGGAGAAGAGAACAAAGCTGAGAACTGGTTGAATGGAGGACTCACAGGTGATAGGGAAGGGTGGCCACATTGGGCCACCCAAGCTTGCAGCTGGGAGTCAGGGGAAGAGCGCACGCAGGCTGTAGGGGCAGCTTCTGTATGGCAAGCAGCCAGGGTTAGCTGGTTTCCCAGGCTCCCCGTGGATTAGCAAATCTGAATAAAATTTCACATGTTCCAGGGCATAAGGGCTGTCCCTAGTTATCTGGTATATGGCCCCAGGAGCAGACAGGGCTGGGGCTGGGGCATCATGGCCTGAACTGTGAGAGTCCAAAGGGAAGAGGTTGGGGTGTTGGCTTAACAAGTTGCTTAAGGGGAACTGACTGGCCTCTAGTGAGAGTCTCAAAACTAGGTCAAGACAAAACATATTACTCAGAGGGGTTTTATCTTGCTCGCCCCCTCAGATCCACAGGCCTGGATCCCATCTTGAAAAGGAGTCTAAGGGGGCGCCTGGGTGGCTCAGTGGGTTAAGCCGCTGCCTTTGGCTCAGGTCATGATCTCAGAGTCCTGGGATCGAGCCCCGCATCGGGCTCTCTGCTCAGCAGGGAGCCTGCTTCCTCCTCTCTCTGCCTGCCTCTCTGCCTGCTTGTGATCTCTCTGTCAAATAAATAAGTAAAATCTTTAAAAAAAAAAAAAAGAAAAGAAAAGGAGTCTAAGTCTGAGTGAAGGTGCAGTGGAATGAGTGCCAAGATTGGTGGGGGATGTGGGGCAGGGGCAAGGAGCAGGGCCAACCTCATGGGCCATGGGTTTGCTGACCGAGTTTCAGAGCGTTGCTGTCTTGGATTCAAGCGCCGCCTGAGGCAACCTCCTGCCTGCAGTGAAAACAGACATTAGCTGTCTCCTCCAGATGACAAGAGTAGTTGGCTAATATCAAGAGTCTACCCTGATGCTTTATATCTGCATCCCATCTATTCCCTTCATGGCCCTTATGACAATTTGCAATTACACATCCATCAGTTAGAGATACAATCTTCCTGTTAGTATCTATAACCGTATTCAATGTTCTGTTATCTGTGTGTTTATTTGTATCCATCTTTCTCACTAGAACATTAACTCCAGTGAGGACGTTATTCTCCAAAGATTACCCAGAGTCAGTATTCTGGAATATTTGTTGAATGAGTGGGTAAACAAATAACAAAAAAGAAAAAATATATATTTGAATGTAACTCTCCTCCCTCACTAGGCAGTTTTCTGGTCCTGGCAGTGCTCTTTTATAGGATAAGACAATCCCTATCACACTGTCAAGAGGATGTTTGGTATTGCTCATAAAATTATAGCTTGTTTTCCAGTGAGTGCCTTGTTCTAATATGTGGTTTAGTTACCATGGGTCATATGCTCACGGATAGCCCACCTATGGCCACAGTAAAGAGTGACTCTCTATCTAAATTGTAAAAACCAGCAGTTAGATCCAGGCAGTATCCTTTCTCACCCTTAGGAAAAGGTGCCTCCACCCCCACCCTCACCTCCACCTTTTTTCCTTACTTCCTGTTTCTACCAAGCCATCAGCAAAGTCACTGGACTTGATGCTAACACATTGTTTCTTAGGTTATTAGGTTAAGTAAAATCTGCTGGAGCGAGAAAGATTTTTCTACATCAGCTTTCATCCTTGCTGCTTAATTAAATCCCTCACCTGGGAAAAGAGTGATTTTCAGCCATCTCGCTTTCTATGGCATCAGCACGGAACTGTGACTGTTGAAATACCAAAATGCCACTCGTGTTTAATGCTTCAGGTGTAACAAGCCTGTTCTATTTGGAATCCCCTAAGAAGATAGATATTAACTGAGAATTGAAAATGACAGCAGAGGAGATTGAATCAGAATACCAAATGAACCCATGGATCTATTTCCTCTCCTGTTTCAATCCCTTGAAATGTCCAAAAATATATATATTTTTTAAAACCCTCCATAAACAGTACTAGAAAATAAGAAATAATAGTATCTGAGACCCCAAAATTTTGAAAAGTTCCTGGCAAACTACAGCAACTAGAATTGAGGACAGTGAAGATGCCTGGAGACCAAAACATGCTCAGGAAAAAGTAACTTTTAGGTATAAGTAGGGGGACATTCAAGGAGACACTGAACTCTCAGCAAATTCACTGAAGAACATGAGGGTGTCTCCAATAGCTTGATTGCATTAATGACCCAAATTCTTCACCTTTTTCCTATACTCCTATCCTTTGTCGTGGGACCTTACAGTTCCTGTCACCACGGAGGTGGAGCCACTGTCCCATCCCTTGAATCTGGACTGGTCTCATAACATGCTTTGCCCAATAAAACAAGGCAGAAATGACAGTGTGTCGATTCCAACCCTGGCCTTGAAGGCCTTATGTGTTTTGTGTGTTTCCATTTGCTGCTCTTAAAATTCTGGCATTGACATGAATGTGCAAATTAGCCTTCTGGTGTATGAGAAACAGGAAATAGGGCCAAGTATCCCCAGTCATTCCAGCCAACAGCCAGCCGACACTCATGTATAGGAGTGAGCCATTGTTTTGTGGCTGTATGTTACACAGCATTAGCATGGCAACATATAACTGACACAGACTCCCAGCTGTGTTCACGACACCACATTACTGCTTCTAATGGGTAATAGGTAGCAATGGTATTTGACTCTAGAATCAAAGGAACAGCTGTATTCAGAAGAAAAGGAACCTATGCCTGTGTGAGTGCAGAAGTCTAAGAAAGAAAAAAAAGCTCTGTTTAGGTAACTCTTGACCCCAGACCATCTAGAAAGAAAGGGGAGGGAAGGAAAAGACTGGTGTACTTAATAGGAGAATAAACTGATCTCCCCCTCACAAAGGTTAAGAAAGCCCCCCTGTTTAAGCCATTGGGGTAGTGGTAGGAGGCCCCACACTGCTTGCCTGCTACATTTTCAAGCATCCAAAAATGATAGGCCCCAATCAAGACTCCCTGCTCTTTTAAGCAGAACCTGAAATTATCCCTTGCACTTGGGAGAGAGAGACAGTGCAGATGCAGAAGCATGTAATAGCAGAGAAGCTCGCCCAGCTCCCACACCCATCTACCTCTTTTTCAGCCATTAATGTAAAGAAACAACCAAGAAAAAAAACACACAGATATTGAAGAAAATCCCTTGACATGAAGGTGAAGCAATAAAATAAAGAGGAGGCCAACCAATTCTAGGGGAAAGAAAGAACTCAATAAAGGAAAGAAATACTGTTTTTAAAAACAATATAATATTCTTAGAAATATCTATTATAATATCACATCCATAACAGGAAGTGGCAAATATGAATAGGAAACTTCCAGAAATAATAAAGAACCCTTCTCTATATGTAAAAATAAAGCTAATATTGAGGTACCTGGGTGGCTCAATTGGTTAAGCACCTGATTCTTCATTTTGACTCAGGTCATGATCTCATGGTTGTAGGATCCTGCCCCAAGTCAGGCTCTGTGCTCAAGCAGAAGTCTGCTTGAGATACTCTCTCTCCCTGTGTGTCTGCCTCTTCCCCTGCACTCTCTCCCTCTCCCTCCCTCTCAAAATAAATAAATTCTTTTTAAAAATAAGGCTATATTATTTTTTCAAATACAACATGGAAATAGTACTTGTTTTGAATGTATAACAAAACTATTTTCATGGGTGGGAAGAACTGAGAAAAAGTCATGTTTATTTTACTTCTATTTATTTTAGGATTATTTGTGTAAGTGAAAAACTATTACTTGTGAATCCGAAGTGTCATCTTCTTTTTTTTCCCCCCTCTCCTTCCCCACTCAACCTGTTCACTCTTCATTATAGGCCAGGAGACATGATTACTCTTCTAGAAGACACCAATGAAGACTGGTGGAAAGTAAGTATTCCTCTTTCTTAAAAAAAAAGAAAAACAAAACAAAACAAAGAATCACTTGGTAACTGTAATTACAACAAATGAAACAATTGTGGACGCATGTCTCCTTTTTCCTTCCAGGGGAAAATTCAAGACAGGATTGGCTTCTTTCCGGCCAACTTTGTTCAGAGAGTACAACAAAATGAGAAGATCTTTAGATGTGTTAGGACCTTCCTTGGTTGTAAAGAACAGGGGCAGATGACAGTGAAGGAGAATCAGGTGAGTAAAGCATGCAAGCACATACCAGGTACCACCAAAACAGAGAAAAAATCACTAACAAACATAATGGCACCCATAAATCTGAATGAATGGGGTCATAGTCCAAGTGTTCACTTTGAGAAAAGAGAATGCTCACTCTGGTGGTATTATGTAGTGTAGCACAATCTAAACCTGCAAAACCAGAATGTTCAGAAGCTCATTTAGTGCTATGTGTTCACAAGAGGAAATATACATAACCTTATGGCAGCAGGGTAAGGACATCTATCTGGGCCTGGTGCCTTTTCTCTGAGGACCGCTAGTCTCTGATGTGGACACCTACTCCAGTTTTGGTTCTGTGCTGGTGTGCACCAATGAATGGTTAATTTTTTGTAGTCTCTTAGGAATACTTTGTTATTACTTCCTGAGGGTTCCACAGTCACAAAAACCCTTCTAAATAAGGTCTCCTTGTCCAGACTCCAAGTTTCTGCCTTTTCACTGGAATCCAAGACACCTTCACATTGCTGCATAAAACATAATCAGGACAGAGGTAACCAGGGATTATCACACCAGTGCCTGGTTGTCCCCATACATCTAATCTAGAGGTTTCTGGCGCCATCTTGCTCTAGAGCCATGTTGAATGTGAGGGTCAACATGCAACAGCAAATAAATGACGCTGTCAGTTTCCTAAGAAGTGAGGAATGAACTCCTTCCACATGTATGTCTTTAAGCTCCTTGCTTCTTGCTCCTCCATCTCACTCTTGGAATGTTGACAGACACAAAGTGACAAGACACACACAGCTCAGCTCCTTGTCCTAACTCTGCCTCTCTTTGCCTTCTTCCAGCAGAGAGAGGGCTTCCTACTGCCCCTGCTTCTCTGACTTCCAACTTCCCTCACGGCAGATCCTGTATCCTCACTATAAAGTAAAAATAATACGTGAAGACCTCCACATTTGCTCTTGGTGTATTTGGGGATGATTTGAGAAATCAGACATTAGAAATTTCTTCAGTACCCTGAAAAAGTTTCACAATTAACTCTAATTTCCAGTTTTGGAAGCCAAAGCCTTACCTTTCTTTCTGTATCCACTTTTGGTATGGTAATTCTAATATTTTCTGAGGCACTTAATGCCTCTAGTTGGAAATGATGAGGCTCACCCTACAAAGAAATGAATGAAAATGAAAATGAAATTAAAAATGTATTAGTAATTTTAATACTATCCCAAGGTGCCTGGGTGGCTCAGTCGTTTAGGCAGCTCTCTTCAGCTCAGGTCATGATCTCAGGGTCCTGGGATCGAGACCCCCGCATTGGGCTCCCTGCTCAGCGGGGAGTTTGTTTCTCCCTCTTCCCCTCCCCCCAGTCATGTGCTATTTCTCTCTCTCTCTCTCAATCTCTCTCTCTCAAATAAATAAATAAATAAAATCTTTAAAAGAATAATAATAATTTTAATACTATCCCAGTTCGATAGCATTGCCCAAAAGACATCTTGAATGTCATTTTTGCAATTGCCTACAAAGATAGTTTCTAAGTCCCATAAGACTTTATATTATTTTATATTTACCTTACTTTATATCTGATTTATAATTTTAAAAAATTGGTTTACCTAACTTGATCAACAATTTTATGTGCCACACATAGTGCCAAATACTTGATCATCTTCAAACTAACAAGTATACTCTCAAAGAATAATGATTTACCTTTTCTTTATGACTATTTAAAAGAAAAATCTTTATATCTAGCCCATGGTTCACAGAGAAGGAAAGAACAAATTAATACAGTCCTGAACATTGCCACAGTGATAATTATCACAAGGGCCATCATTATTATTACTAATTATTTATGTCATATATATATTTATAGAGTATATATACCTACAGCATTTTACTTGAGATCCCACACATGTCCTATGAATTTTTTTGAATAATTAATCACTATTTATATTTTATAAGTGATGAATCAAAAGCTCATACATGTTATATCCCTTGCTCAAGGGGACAAAAACCTGGTAAGTAGCTAGGCTGGAACTTTTTTTTAAAGGTTTTATTCATTTATTTGACAGAGAGAACAAGCACTGGGGGAGACAGAGAAGTAGGCTCTTCTGGGCAGGGAGCCTGACTTGGGGCTTGATCCCAGCACCCTGAAATTGTGACCTGAACAGAAGACAGACACTTAACCTCTGACCCACACAGGCACCCCCAGGCTGGAACTTAAACATAGGTCTGCAAACTCCAAGCCAAAATGCTTTCCACGTGCCCTGAACAAGGTGGCACCAACTTTGAGCTGTACAGCACCATTTGCATAGTTTGGCTCCCAGGGAAGGGAATGTCATTAAGGCAAGTATCCTAGGACCAGAGAACTCCTTAGAAACATTCTTACTCCTGTAAGTGCCCTATTGGGTTATCTTTCATTTCAGGCAATGGAATCATCCTCATCAGACTGAGACCCCAGCTCTAGTGCCACACACACCCCCCATACAGCAAACGGGCACTTTTCCCAGCTGGGTTCCATGCCAGGGCTTCTCCAAGTGTACCCAACTGTATCCTCCCTGTTGCAAAAATTTGGAAAGTCTTTTGAATGAAATAAATTCAAGAAGGATATCCATCTTTATTGGCAGAGTGTTAATAAATAATTTTGCCAGCATGTTTGATTTTTCCCTCAAAATAATCTTATGCTTCCTCACTTGAAATTGAACATTGTCTTTATGTTGTTAATATACAAGTCAGTGAAATCAAAAGGCAAATTAAAGTTTGCTCAACTTGATCAATTTCCAGAAGCAGAGCATCAACTCAGTGACTCCTACCAATTCCTTGACTGTTAGTCCCCAAAATTCTCTTTTCTGGGAATGGACTCACACCTTGTCTTCTCCACTCCCATGGTTGAAGTGCAGTCTTCCAGGATGGGGTGGGTGGGGGAGAGGCATACAACCCAATTTCTTCAATTAGACATGCTCAAGACATTAACACAGCATTTCAGCTGAACCAAATGAATCTGCCCATGATTCTTTAAAAAAGTTCCATAATCCCTGATATTTGTCCAGCCTGGTGTTTCTGAGAGTATGGTTTGAACCACCTGAATCATAATCACCTGGAAGCTTGTGAAAAATACAGATTCCTGGACTCCATCCCAGACCTGTGGAAGCAGATCTTCTCAGGGCAAAGACAAAGAATCTCTCTCTTTACAAACTCCCCAGGATCAAAGCTGAAGTTTGAGAATGACTTTCACTTCCATTCTCTCACTTTCAAATCCTGTGTAGTCCTGTAGCAACTAAAGGCATTTTTATGTCCAATTACCTGTGGGTCAACAAAGGCACTGAGGTCTCTAGCCCTACACAAATTCTTTATTTTCCATCTTTGGCATCAACATGGCAACCAATTTTGGAAAAACATCAGCCACTTAAGAGAAAATGTACATTTTAAAGATCTATTATTGTGGACATTGCTGCTATGAACATTGAGGTACAGATGGCCCTTTTTTTTTTCACTACATCTGTATCTTTGGGGTAAGTACCCAGTAGTGCAATTGCAGGGTCATAGGGTAGCTCTATTTTAAATTTTTTGAGGAATCTGCACACTGTTTTTCAAAGTGGCTGTACCAACTTGCATTCCCACCAACAGCGTAAGAAGGTTCCCCTTTCTCCACATCCTCTCCAACACTTGTTGTTTCCTGTCCTGTTGATAAGTCAAGCAGAGAAAGTCAATTATCATATGGTTTCACTTACTTGTGGAGCATAAGGAATAACTTGGAGGACATTAGGAGAAGGAAAGGAAAAGTGAATTGGGGTATATCAGAGAGGGAGATGTAAGATGAGAGACTATGGATTCTGAGAAACAAACAGGGTTTTGGAGGGGAGAGGGGTGAGGTTTAGGTGAGCCTGGTGGTGGGTATTAAGGAGGGCATGTATTGGATGGAGCACTGGGTCTGGTGCATAAACAATGAATCTTGGAACATAAAAAAATAAATAAATAAAATTAAGATGTTAAAAAAAGAGAGCATTTTAAAAATAAATAAATAAATAAAAATAAAGATCTATTATTAAGAAAAGTTTTTAAAATTTGGCTCCAAATCACTTAGTGTCCTAAATTAGTTTAGGTGTAAAATTTCAAAACATATTGGTCAAAATGAGGAGAGCTTAACCTAGTAGCATACCCCGTGTGATTTTGGGAAAGTCACTTCTGAATGTCAGCATTCTTATCTGTAAAGTCAGCATAGTTGCACCTCCCTCTTGACATGGGTAAGGGTGAAACATGATCCCCTGTGTAAAATGCCAGCACTGTGCCTGACCACCCACCAATGCATAGCAACGTCCCCATGCAGCCGGCACCATCTAGAGTGAGTTCCATATTCATCTGCAATGGGCAGCACTGCCTAAAATTACCTAGTAAACATCAGAAAATAGCCAGTATGGTATTTGCAACTCTAAAAATATAGACAAATGCTCTTTAACAGGGAAATAGAAGAAATTCGATTCTGAAAACAAATGCAATGCATCTCTTTGATCAAATCACATTTCTGCCTCTGGGGTTAATTTGGCTCATAATGATTATATTATTTTTTCACAGAGCTCTTATTTCCGAAGAGAATCAAGTTATCCTTTCGTTGTGAACACAACTAGAGTTTGCACTAATGCCAAAGTTTGTGTTTTCCTTATTTTTAAAATCTAAAAAATGTTCTTATTAAACCATAAAAGTATTTCTTGAAATTCATCCATAGTTCTGCCATCCCAATAGAACTGTTTTTATTGATTCTTTGTATTATGTTGAAGCTTTTAAAGAAAAACAGGCAAATTATTTTTAGATTACTAAACTAAAATGTATTTATCGTGGAGAAATTTGAAAATTACAAAAAAATATAAAGAAGAAAATAAAAATAGCAGGTAACTCAAGCATCAAGTTATTATTGACAAAAACAATTTGGTATATTTTCTACCAAACTTTTCTTATACTTAATATTTTGGTGTATCATATTCTATTTAGTGTTCTGAGTTTTTTTTTAACTTAGTCATTAAATGTTTCTCAAAACAGTTTTT